GCTGCACATCGTCCCTCACCACCCAAGGCGTGCTAAGGTCATACGCTCAGCATTCAACATCGTCAGACTCGAAGATCCTTCCTACCTTTACAAGTTTCAGTCCACGCTGGATGCCAATGGACCACTAATTGGAAATCCAACTGAGAAATGGAACCAGTTCAGGGATGTAGTGACAGAGACAGCCAAGGAGGTGCTAGGCCCCAAGGAACGCACTCATCAGGACTGGTTCGATGAAAATGAAAGTGCCTTTGGAGACCTGCTGGGCATGAAGAACAGAGCATTCCTGCAGTGGCAGAAAGACCCAAGGTCTGCATCCAAAAAGGAGAGGTTCAAGTCCCTCCAAGCCCAGGCACAGTGAGAAATCACAAAGATGGAAGGTCAGTGGTGGGAGAAGGCGGCGGAAGAAATACAACACTACACCGACACAAACAATGCCAGGCAGTTCTTTGGCTCTCTCAAGGCAGTCTATGGTCCCTCAAAATCTGGTTCTGCCCCCTTACTTTCTGCAGACGGCACCACGCTCATCAAAGACAAACAGGGCATCAACAACAGATGGAGAGAACATTTCAGCCAACTGCTCAACCTCCCATCTGCAGACAACCAGTCAGCCCTCGACCAGATCCCTCAAAATCCCACTCTTGAGCAGCTGGATGACCCCGCATCCCTAGCTTAGGTTCAGAGGGCCATCAAGCAAATGAGCTCTGGCAAGGCAACCGGCAAAGATGGTATTCCTGCAGAGTTGTACAAGGCACTTGGTGAGGAGGCACTCCCGGCATTCCATTAAGTTCTGTCCAGCATCTGGGAAGAGGAAGATATGCCCTCGCAGCTCCGTGACGCCATAATAGTTGCCCTGTACAAGAACAAAGGCCCACGAGCAGATTGCAGCAACTACAGAGGTATCTCTTTACTCTCCATTGCAGGCAAGATCCTCGCACGCATTATGCTCAACAGACTACTGACATCAGTCTATGAACAGAACCTGCCTGAGTCACAGTGTGGCTTCTGCCCAGATCGCAGCACCATCGACATGATCTTCACTGTGAGTCAGGTGCAGGAGAAGTGCCTAGAACAGAACATGAACCTCTATATGGTCTTCATCGATCTGACCAAGGCATTCGACACGGTCAACAGAGATGCCCTGTTGGTCATACTCAGAAAACTCGGCTGCCCAGCAAAGTTCACCAAACTGATCCAGCTGTTTCACATCAACATGACAGGAGAAGTTTTGTCAGGTGGAGAGCCATCCGATCAATTCGGCATCTCCAATGGCGTGAAGCAAGGCTGTGTCCTTGCACCGGTGCTCTTCAATCTGTTGTTCACCCAAGTGCTGCTACATGCTGTGAGAGACCTGAACCTGGGCGTGTACATCAGGTACCATATCGACGGTTCACTGTTTGACCTTCGCCGCCTGGCAGCCAAAACAAAGACACTGGAGAGGCTCTTCACAGAAGCTCTCTTTGCAGACGACTGTGCTTTCATAGCGCATCAAGAGAATCATCTACAGACCATCGTAGATAGATTCTCCACAGCAACAAAGCTGTTTGGGTTAACCCTCTAAGCGCCAAAGTCGCAAAATTGTGACAAGTCATACTTAATAAAATAGGCTGTAGATCCTAATATGGTGTAATATCTCATTTGTATTCCCTACCACTAGATGGCAGACATGTAGTACTTTGATTCTAGATCAAAATGACGTCATGTTCCTATTCAAAGTGTTCGAGCAAATAGCAGAGCAAGTGAGCTATCTATTTGCCTTTTGGAAATGACGATCGGTCATCTAATCATCGCACCTCTCCCGGTACATCTTTGTAGCGCAATGGTGCCGCCGTGCAAGACGCGAGTGTTCACGAAGCACAAACAAGTTATCATTTCGACCATTTGCCCAGTGGGGATAGGGGGTGGCAGCGGTGGACGTGGTCGTAGTGTCTATAGGAGAGCTGTTGCTAGAGGTAGAGGCAGCAGGGGTAGGAGAAATAGGGCTGGAAGTAGCACTAGTTCTTTGGATCCAGCGCCCCAAAGTGGTGGGTGTCCCCGCGGTAGACGTGGCCATGCTGTGTGTGGGAGAGCCGGGAGACGTGGTAGAGGCAGCAGGGGTGATCTGGTCTACTATTTCTTGAATATTACTGATGAACTGATCAAAAAGTAGGCTACTGTTTCACATGCGTTTTACTACTATATAGTATTGCAATATAGTAATAATTTAGTACTTTCGCCTGTTTTATTGTTGGTTTCCTCTTTTCTGATCATTTAGAATGAGGATAAAAAGACAAAAAAAAAAACATGCAAATAAATTCAAATATCAATTCAAAATCTACTATTTCCTGATTATTATGAAATTCAAGATGGCCGCCCTGGAAGACGTCATAATATGCTAATTAGATGAGTATATTTACACCCCACATAAACTTTCGGTCATGCCCAACATTTTTCTAATTTACAGTAGATCTCTATCTTTAAGCCCTTTCAAGCCACAAGCTTTTGAAATATTGATGTCAAAATCCAGCATTTTTTCCAAAAAACCCTGGCGGCTAAAGTGTTAACTATCAGCCTCAGCAAGACAGAAGTTCTATACCAGCCTGCACCAGGAAGAGAAGCAGACCAGCCTTGCATCACCATAGATGACACCCAGCTCTCAAATGTTACCACCTTCAAGTACCTGGGCAGCAAAATCTCCAATTCCAGAGTCCAAAAGGCCAATCAAGCTCTTGGGAGACTGCGCTCCAAAGTTCTACAACACAGCGGCATTCGCCTCTCCACAAAGCTAAAAGTATACAGAGCAGTGGTCCTCACCTCACTTCTGTACGGCTGTGAAACATGGACGCTCTACTGGAGACATATCAAACAGCTGGAGCAGTTCCACCATCGCTCCCTCCGGTCAATCATGAAGATCCGCTGGCAGTACAAAGTCACCAACCAAGATGTCCTGGACAGAGCTGGCTCAACAAGCATTGAATCCATGATTCTGAAAATGCAGCTCCGATGGTCTGGCCACGTCATCCGCATGGACCCGCAGAGGATGCCAAAGCAGGTGTTCTTTGGAGAGTTGGCCACAGGGTCCAGACACCAAGGGCGCCCAAAGGAAATATTCAAAGATAACCTCAAGTCACATCTAAAATGGGCTGACCTGAACCCAAAGCAGCTGGAGCTTGCCGCCTCTGACAGAGCCAGTTGGCACGCCCAAATTAATAAAGCAGCCACCGCATTTGAAGAGGATCGCCACCATCATCTTGCAGCTGCAAGAGAACGCAGACACAGAGCTGCCGCTGCCCCTGCTCCAACTACTGGTGAACCTTGCCCCCTCTGCAACCACCTCTGTGCTTCTGCCTTTGGGCTTCGAAGCCACATGAGGATCCACAGATGACTGCACAAAGCCTCAATCGTCATTCTCGACCCCTGAGAGACTACCTGACTAACTGATATATACAGTATATATAACTTAACTAACTCAATATATACCTTAAAGAAATGGTAAATTCTTATTAAGTGAAGAGGTTTAATTTTTTGCCACATGCTGCTGTAGGGCTACAGAAACTAAGCTTAACTGGCATGACTATTTGGCATTTACAACATATATAATAATCATTTTTAAAATAGATAATACATTTAAATATTTATGTAACGGAAGAGGTCTGACGCAACAGGTTAGTATATACAATCAAGTTTATTTGGTCACAGAGAGTACGGGTGTAGGATCCAGATGATGACACGGTGAGTGTATAGTTCGTAGAACAGTTCAAAGGATATGACGAGTGGAATAACCAGAATCCTTTCCTTTACAGGAGCTGGCATGCACACAGGAGGAGCACACACCTCAGCTCTCTGGGAATTAGGAGGAACAGGAGACACTTGGAGGAACACAGGCGGTAAGTAATGCAGGTCAGTATTCAAATGGAAGCCGTAGCAAAGTCAGAGAGTCCTCTACGTGTATACGAGACCAGACAATGAGGGTGTCTGAGGTGTGTGGTTTTATACAGGCTGGTTGATGAGGTGCTTGATTGGTGACAGGTGCAGGTGCTCAGAACTCCGGTGATAGAGATCGTTGTGATTGGGTGGTGGTGGAGCCTGGCCGATCTGTTACAATTTACAGCTATTAAACAAATAAGACAATTAGTAAATTTATTTGAAATACTTTCTAGATAGTATGAATTAAATGTGTTTTGCATTTAATATATTCATATAATATGTATGAATAATAAAGGCACAAGCTACAATTGAGTATTGTAGGCAGAAGGAGATAGCATTAGAACGCAAAGCCGTGTAATGTTTATCATCAAACCTAAAAGTTTTTTTTTTTGTCCATTATTATTTTAAATGTATTTATTCTGAATATTTTCATTTATATTAGGGATGGGCGATACCTCTTTTTTTTTTTTTTGATCCGATACCGATATTTTCAAGCACAGTATCGTCGATATCGATACCGATACCTCTAAACTAAACTGATCTTTTAAATTATTAAAAGAATATAATCAGTAATTATACTCACTTAATATTAGATTTTTAAAGCCATGTTTTTTAACATTTCATAGGTCTTTTTTTTGTTTACACTGTCAGAAATAAAATATACTATAATTGTATTTTAGCCCTTTACTGGGGCAGTAACCTCACAGGTGCAACTATATCCCTAAAATTGAGCATATTAGTACCATACAAGTATGCATGCTTTAAGGGTAGATAAGTTACAAAGGTGCACCTTTGAGG